GTAGTAGTAGTAGTAGTGGTGATAGTAATGGTGGTGGTGGTGGTGGTAGTAGTAGGAGTAGGAGTAGGAGTAGTAGTGGTGATAGTAATGGTGGCGGTGGTGGTGGTGGTGGTGGTGGTGGTAGTAGTAGTAGTAGTAGTAGTAGTAGTAGTAGTAATGGTGATAGTAGTGGTGGCGGTGGTGGTAGTAGTATCATCTTACCTTCAGAGGAGCTCCAATAGGAATATACCTCAGCCAGGTTAGTATCCTTCTTTTTTGTTTTATGCTTAGTGTCCTTCAGGGTCCTGCTCAGGTGGATAAAACGATTGCTTTTTGCAATTGAATGAACGTGTTGGGACGCAGACTCATCTCATGTAGGCTTGCTGCCTAGCAGATAGGATGATGAGAATGACCTAGATCTCCTTTCACTCCCACATGGTTTTGACTTCTTCTGCTAAGTCTGTGGATTTGGGGAGTTTTTCATTCCAAATAGAGATCGGAGGTTACACATATTTGGTGTGGTGACATCTATTAAAATGCTATTCTTAGATTCTCTATGGGTCACTGTTGTGTCTGGGTGGTGATGAGTGACCGTTTCATCAGAACAGGAGAAAGGCAGATGCTCAGAGTAATAATTCACAAGGATCTCGTGATTCCAGTGATACAGATTTTCCTCCACTGTTGCAGATTTCAACCCCTCTCTAACTGGTGGAGAGTTTTAATGAGTTGCTGTGGCTAAACAACTGCCCCTCTTATGGCCAACCTGATGAGAAGCTCCCTGCGCTGAGCTCAGCTAGTCTTGAGATACCAGGCGGTGGGCAGTTGCTGGGCCCATCCTGAAAGCATGGCCAGTGACCTAATAAGACAATTCAATGCTGTGATGGGTCTGTGATCTCATTGATATGGGCCATTCCTCCAAGAGGGCCGTTCACAGATCACCCATGCGTGCGCGCTGGATCACAGATTTAGAGCTGGGAGGGACCTCAGAAACTGTTAAGTCCAACCTCCTCATTTTACAAATGAGGGAACTGAGTCCCGGAGAAGGGTTATGACTTGCCTGGGTTCACATAACTAGTAAAATGTTTGAGATTTGAACTCAGGTCTTCCTGACCACAAGTATAATACTCTATCCTCTTCACCATGCTGCTTCTGTCCTGCACAGCTCTTGTCCATGTCCTCTTATGAATCCACCCCACAGGTTAGAGGGCCACCCAGGGTTTTAGGGTGTTGCTGTTCAGTCATATCTGACTCTCTATGACCCCCATTGGGGGTTTTCTTGACAAAGACTCTAGAGTAGTTTGCTCTTTCCTTCTCCAGCTCCTTTTACAGTTGAGGAAATTAAGGCAAACAGGTTTAGTGACTTGCCCAGGCTCACACAGCTCGAAGTGTCTGAGGCTGGCTTTGAACTCGGGTCACCCCACCCCACAATGACACATCTGAGTAGAAATATCTGGTAGGTGGCCATAGAAATGGGGCAGTACAAAAGCGTGGGGGTGAGAAACGGAGTACCACACAGTGAGCAGGCCAGAATGGCTGGATTGCAGAGCCTAAGGAGGGGAGTGATGTGGAAAAATTCTGTATATCGATCCAGGGATGGTTGGATCCTGCCTCTGGTGTTTGCACCCTACGTAATCTTGGACAAGTCATTTTTAATCAACCCAGGCCTTGGTTTCCTCATCAGTGAAATAAGGGGGTTGGACAAGATGGTCTCAAAGGTCCCTTTCAGTTCTAGTTTTATGACCCCATGGTTCTCATGACCAAAGATGTCGACTGGGGAATCATTCAGACAGAAATAATGGTGGAAGCCATGAGAATGGAAGAGAGGAGAAAGACAGAGAGGGATATTTGCAGAGGGATCAATACAAAGCCTTGGATTGTGGGATAGGCAGAGGAACCCTAGGAAGATATGAGGGAGGGGTCAGAAGGGACCCCACACGGCACGGTGGATAGGTCGCTGGCCTTGGAGTCAGGGAGGGCTGGGCTCGTGGGCCACCTTTGACACATCCCAGCTGTGTGACACTGGGTAAAGCAGCCACGCAGGACCTCCTCAAGTTGGGGAGTGGGTGCTCACCCATTCTATAGAAGGGGCTTCCTCAACGGTCCGGTGAAACCACACACCCTGTCCAAGGTGAGCCGACCAGGAGAGTGACCGTGGTGGTAGGAGAGAGTGGTTCTTCCAGGCACTCCACAAACATTTATTAGGCACCGCCCTGTCAGGTTCTCTTCTGGGAGTGGGGAGAGAGAGACAAAAGGCAAATGGTCCTTGGCCTCCGCGAGCCTCCGTTCTGTCGGAGGAGACAACAAGCACAGAAGCCCAAGCTTCCTGGCCCTGCCACCCGCCTAACAGGTCCGTGCTTCTTTCAGGTGGGGAACCTGGGCCTTCTCTTCGTGCTTCTCTTTTTCATCTATGCCGCTCTGGGCGTGGAGCTCTTCGGGAAGCTGGGTAAGCAGGGAGGGGGTGGGCAGGAGTAGGACGGGGGGGCAGTTTTCCCATTGCATTGCAAGATCAGCCACTCGCGTGGGTCGAGTCTCAAGCTCGGAAAGAATTGTCCCCTTCTTTCCAAGTCCTACCAAGGTGTCTTCAAAGGGGCAGCATGGAGCCGTTAACCACAGACTGGAACCCTGGCTCTGATCTGGCTGAGCACCAAGGGAGCCATTATTTCACCTCCTGGGATCTCCGTTTGTTATCTGTAAATAAGGGGGACGTCTAAGGGCCCTTCTGGTTCGAGGTCTTATGATCTTATGATTGTGGTTTGGGATTGTTGGGAAAAATCATTGTTTTTGTGCCCTAAGGTGAGAGGTGGTTCCCTGTGGACACTCTAGGAAATCTGAAGTTGAGAAGATCTTCAGATAGTCTCTGGAATATCATGGAACCCAAGTGCTAGTCTTTCCCTCAGAGGTGACCTTAGCTCAAGGCAGAAAGCCCTGTGTCAACTGAAAGCAGCTTGTGACTCTACTACTTGCTACTTGCATCACTTTTTAACAAAGCAGTTCTCTTCTTTGGGCCTCAGTTTCTTCATTTATAAAATGAGAAAGTAGGACTAAATGTCCTCTGAGGGCCTAACCAACTCTAGATCTGTGGTCTTAAATGTTTGGGAGAGAGACGGGGATGGGCAGGGGAGACAGAGAGATAGGAGGAGAGAGAAGGAGAAAGGGACAGAGACAGAAAGAAAGGGAAGGAGAGACAGAGAGAAGGAAAGGGAAGGAAAAACAGAGAAAGGGAGAGAAAGACAGAGAGAGACAGAGACAGAGAGACGGGGAGAGAGAAGGAGAAAGGGACAGAGACAGAAAGAAAGGGAAGGAGAGACAGAGAGAGAAGGAAAGGGAAGGAGAAAGAGAGAAAGGGAGGAGGGAGGGGGAGAGAGAGAGAGAGAGAGAAGGAGAAAGGGACAGAGACAGAAAGAGGAGGGACAGAGAGAGAAGGGGGGAGGGAGGGGGAGAGAGAGAGAGAAGGAGAAAGGGACAGAGACAGAAAGAAAGGGAAGGAGAGACAGAGAGAGAGAAGGAAAGGGAAGGAAAAAGAGAGAA